TACTTTTCATCAACTGTCCAGTAAATGTGGGAGGAGTTTGCTTATCTGTTACTTAGTTATCATAGTCCCTTCATTTCTGTTGTGCTGCTTTGAGTGTATCCATTTTACAGCCCTGAGATGGAGTGATCTGGGGATCACTACAGACAAATACTGCTGTTGGACTTAACCTTGCCCTACTCTAGAAATGCTGGCCATGCGGTGATACAGCTGTAGCTTTAGAGTGCTAAGTTGTAGATGAGGAAGCCGTAAACCTAACTGTCTCCTTATCTGAGATCGTGTGATCTAATGATACTTTTTTGTACTTTCCGGTTAATACAGTTGCTTTCTGATAGCTTTAGAACTGAAGGGTATCATTGCTATGACTGGTTAGTGCAGACTGCTGAAAATTATTCTTAAGGTGCTACACTGAACTCTGTCTTGACTGTACAAATACTTTCTTAATTACATATTCTTCTAAAGCTCTTCCAGTAACTCAATGACAAAATGTGAAACACATTGTGAAACGTTATAAAGAGATAGTGCATGCACTAAGTCCAGTATCTGTTTTAGAATGGCTAGAGAAGTGCTGCTTTTTCTTTTTTTTTTTGAATGGGTAAAGAAATGTTTTTTTTTTTTTTTTTTTTTTGTCCCCAGGCAGAAGAGGAAATCCACCAGAAGTGTGAGCTTCCATCTCAAATTTTATAGTTTGCGTCTCTTTCAGCAGTTGAACTTTTTACTTTAATGTCTTGCTTTAAGCTTGATGGCTTCTGTTTTTTTTCAAATACCATGAGGTAACATAAGCTTTATGGCTTAAACCTCCTCTTTTGTACTTCGTCATCTTCCTCCTTTGCCCCCACTCATTTGTCATAAATGAGTCAAAAGGAAATAGTGTTGGCACTGGGTGGACCTGAATACAATATCAGTTCCAGAGTCAAGCGTTGTGTCAATCTGAAAAGTAAAGTATGAGCAAGCAGTTTGTCCCAAAGCAGCTCCTAGCTTCATGGGCTGGTGGCTTCTTAGCTGAGAAGGAGGCAAAGACCTGTAACCACGAAACTTGTCTTACAAAAGTTCTCAGCTAGGAATTTAATTTTTTCTTGGGTTCGAAAACAGTAAGAGGAAGGTGAAGTGACATCAGGACTGCCGCTCAAAGCCAGTGGGAGTGGGAGTAGGTAGATGGTGCTTCTGCTGCATGCTGTGTTAGAGATGTCCAAGTTACCTTTCTTAAAGCGTTTTGGAGGATATGCTGGTTTGTGTTTCATTCCAAGACATCATTGCCAGACTACCTGATGATAGACTGGTGCAGAGATGCTAAGCTACCTCTGTGCTGTATAGGGGTGTGTATATATAAAGGATTACTGTGTGCTTTTGGTGAGTTAAGGACTAACTGTACAAATGACAAGTTGTCATGAAGGAGGCAGTTAGTACTTGTGTTGCTCATTGCCCAAGTTTGGAGGCAAGGTCAGAGAAACATTTGAGTGTTTGGCTTTGCCATGTCTTCAAAGGTCCTGAAAAAGCTTTTTGCTTAGGTGCTTCAGAGATTAAGAAGATGGGCTAAGCCAGCTGTAATAGTGGATGTATATGCTTTAATTATGTACCCCACATAAAGTAGTAGAATTGGTTCTAGAGTGTTGTACAGCAATTGGAGGCTAAACTTCTAAATCTGGATGCAGAAAGAAGCTTTGGCTTGCGGTAAATTCTTGAATCCCTGTTTGAAAGTCAAAGTGGAGTTGCCAGTCTCTCACTAAACCCAAGGTATTAGCTTATTGTTTCAGGATTTGGAATTTTATTTAAGGAATTGTAGATTGTTCAGTAACAAAAAGTCTCAAATGACTCAGAATACTAGGTAAAACAGGTGTTTTGTACCTGCTGCTCGGGTTCTGTTAGTTCTAAATTACTGTCAGCCTTCATCATTGACATCTTCATGTTTAGTTGCTAACTTCACACTGAAGGCTGAAAAATTCAACTTAAACTGTTCTTTTACAGACAGTGAAATTGCTGCAGTTCACCCAGATTACTGTACTGGGATTTCCCCTACACCCACTATATTGATGTCATTCTAGTGATACCTTACCAAAAAGAAAGGCATAACTGAACGTTTGTTTTAAAGAAATGACAGGTAATGTAGTTATAGGCTTAACTTGTCATGAGTTAGAAAGTGCATTTCAATACAGTTAGAGACAATCCTTTATTCCTATTGTTTGTAGAAAGGCCAAACAACTTACAGGTTTGTGGATCTAATGGAACATTTACAGTGGTGCCAAATAGATTAACTTGTGGTGTGAGTGGTCCTGGTGGTCCATGTTGGCCAAAAACCCATGTAGGGAAGAAAACACAGTTTTTAAAGTCAGGAGTGAAAAGATGTTCTATTAGGTGTGATGATCACTGAAGTTTCAAAATTATCAGAAGCCTGTGGAGAGACCTGCTTTGCTGGTCATCAGATCAATTATTTCCTTATGGCTTTCTCTTTGTGTTCTTTTGCTTGCCTAAGGTGCAAGGATCTGTTTAGGCTAGTTGAAAGATTGCTCATTATGTGTTTGCAAGAAGAAAATGAAATAGGACCTGGCTCTTGATTTCTCAGTCTTCTGGCCACGTGGAGTTAATCAGTGGTGGCAAAGATGGACACTGGTATGGAGGTGCTCTAATTTCTATGTAAAACATCTCATTTTATGCTAAATACCTTACAGATGGGGTGTCTTCAGAGATGCTGTGAGATTACTGCTGATGAGAAGGGTCTTTCTTACCTTACTTCCACTGCTTACTTTGTACAAGCACCTGTGTTGGATTTCCTGCACTTCCCCTTTCTCCCAACCAAATTATTTGTCACTTGGGGAGGATTTCATCTTTCTGCAGGATGGAGAGGGGAGAAAACAGGTAACTCAATCAGGTTAAGTGCTAGAGCCCCTGCAGGAAAGGAACTGAGACCTTCCTCCCAGGGCAGCGGCAGCAGTAATAGGACTGTTAACTCAGTTGCTAGCAGCACTGTAAAAGGCATGTTTTCTTGAGCAGCATGACCCAGAGACATCCCAAAATCTGTGGCCTTATTTTGTTTTTGCTGGGTCAGTTTTCAACAAAGATGAGCAAGCACGCCTGGCAGACTGCTGTAGGCAGCCGCACTAGCTAGTGTGGAACAGGGGAACAGATCTAGCTTCTAGGAGAGGAATGGTCTCAAAAGAGTATTTTAGTTGCCTCCAGTTATTAATGAAACTACAGTCATTATAACTGTGGTTAGCTATCTAGCAAAACATTAATCAACTTTAAGACTTAAGAAGGAATTTTCTTGAAAACTGACTTCTGGGATCGTGCTGTTCTTTTTTCAGAAACGTTTGTTGGCTGGGAGGAAGTTGGTTTAATTTTCTTACATGAGTCTCTGATATTTTGTTTAGCGTTTAAGTGTTTCAGAATGAAAAAATGCATGCTATCTCCTCTTGGATAGTTTTTTCTTATCAATAGTAACTGTTAGCTTTACTATAGTAGGGTTTATTCAATATTTCTTTATGGGAGAACAGTAATGAGGTAGAGGAAATGCTGTATCTGATGGTTTGCAGCATTTTATTGTGGCTGCATTAAGAGCTGATAGTTTGAAAATGACTACCGTATTACAAATAGTTAACTTGGGCCTTTTATCAAACCCTGCTTAGTGAGCTGGATTGTGGTGTCATGGTTGTACTTTCTGCATGCGGATCAAACTTTGGGTCAGTAGATAACAAAATTTGCATGTTATTTCAAAGTAAATGACGATACAAATAAAGAGAAGCTTTTGCCTAAAGAAGTGTCCCTTTCTTTTTTGTTGTTTGGGGTTTTTTTTGTCAGCATGCTGATGCTTTCAGTTCTTCAGAGGATACTGAAGACATTTCACACTTGTCAGCTCATATGAACAAAATCATTTACACATGTGTGTGTATATATATATATGAAATCACAAAATGTCAGCTCATATGAACAAAATCATTTACACGTGTGTGTGTGTATATATATATATGAAATCACAAAAAATTGTCTGATATGAAATAAGTTTAGGGGGTTGATGAGGAGAGGATATAGTAGCTGTGAAATTTGAGACATTTTTAGAATTACTGTATCGATGCCATAGGTAACAAACACTAGCAGATGTTTACCCGATTAACCTGTTTGATACTATGAATGTAGTGGTTGTAAAATTGCAAGCTCTTTAGGCATCTGTGTGGCTCTTGGGAATATTTGGTTTGGTCTGTTGTTGTAAAATACATGGTGCAAGCAACTTCTTGTGAGTGAATGAAAGATATTGAGAAACCTGTGAAACCTTAATGCTGTGGCTATAGCTGAGAGGTGCTACAGACTTGTTTACATGACTAGAAGAGATTTTATAGGTTTCTGGAAAATATTGAGAGATGAACATTCCTCACTGGATGGTATGCTCTAATTGGCCTATCAATTGGAGTAAATTAATTTCTATGCCTGATTCCTCCTTGCTGTAAATAAAGGAGATGAAACCATCCAGAGGCCTCTGAGGAAGTGATACATGCACATGAGCATGAGCAGTTCTTCCAGATATTTGTGCACTTTCTTTGAAACACTTGTGACATTTTGGCAAGATCATGATGCTGAAGTCTTTATTACAGACAGTCTTAATCTATTCTTGCCTTTTCTCTAAACTAGTTGAGGATATAAAAATCTTCATTTTAAAACCTTTCCAAGTCTGTACTATGTTGACTATGAAATTAAGCTAGATAACGCTTCTTTAAGTCTTAAAATCCTGGTAGCAGTAAGACCTTGGAGGTACTTTATTTGTGCCCGGTGAAAAAGTAGCATTGTTTAGCGGTTACTGTGTCTTCAGTAAACATCCATAGTTTCCATATTGTGTAATAATTAACATGACATCCTGCTTAAGTTACGCCTGGCTATAACGGTATCTCCTGTATTCATCAGTTAATATCAATATTTAACTGTTCATGTCTTGTTATATATGCACTCTTACAGTGGCTGTAGTAGTGCAAAATAGTTTTCCTGTTGACCAAAATGGTGAATAATTTATTGTGTGTTTTTAGGTATTGAGGGTGATTTATCTCTTGCATCATGCGTGAATACAAGCTAGTGGTTCTTGGTTCTGGAGGTGTTGGAAAGTCTGCTCTGGTAAGTACTCTGTGAGGCAGTTCAAGTATGTTTTTCTTGGGCTTCTCGTGTCTCTTTTTCTCTAATACACTCTCTACTAACCCATATTTCTTTTCTGTAAGTGTGCACAAATAAACATAAATAAGTAATGTCTGCTGAGGGTTCCTAGCTAGGATAGGTGGATCCTTTACTGGGTGTATCCACACCCATTGGTCCGCTATCACAGGCTAATATTTTTGTACAGGGTTGGTTGATAGTGCTTGGTCAGATCTTTGCCCATCTTACACAGTGAAGTGCATGGCCACAGCATTGTGAAGATCCCTAGCTTCACTGAGTAACCCAGACATAGGTCTGTGGGGAATCAAGCTGCTTCATGAAATTTACACAATGAACTGGTTTGCCTGTGTCTGGACTTGGTAACTCTAGAAAGGTCTTCAGGGTGCTGTTTGCTTCATGTTTGATACCAGTCTCTAAAGCACTAATTTTTTTATGCAAATAGAAATATGTTTGCATCGTTGCAGAAAGTTTAACATGCTTTCTACATCTTTCTCTGCAAGTAGGTGTATAGCTGCGGCAGGTAAATGATTGTAAACCAAAGGGGTAGTGCATTTTAGTTAAACAATTACAGAATAGTTCAGTCTGACCTAGACTATCACTGAAAAAGTTCACAGAATATGATGTTCTTAGCCCACCTAAGAACTCTACATCTTTCAGTTTAATTTGTACCTTATCATAAAGTAAGGTCTAGAGGTCCACTCTATCAGGTAAGAACTATTCTCTTACAAAGCAGTTCCTAAAGGAAAACTGAAATTACAAATTGTGTTAGATTGTGAAAGAGCTTTTTGCTTCACCTCTGAATTCTTTATCTTACTGCAGCATTTCTGGATTTGAAGCTGTCTGCTCTGGCTTGGCCATTGAGTCTTTAAGTTCCATTTGACTTGTGCTAAAAGCGTCCTACGTGCTAGGTACACAGGAATATTCTACTGAGTCTACTTAAGACTAGTAAATGCTGGCAGTTGTTTTTTGACTAATTCCTATGCTGGCAGATAAGTAGCAGAAGATGCAGTAGTTCTAAATGCAAATGTAAAAGCCATGCAGCTGTGTAGTATCCTATTCAACTAAAAACTAATAATGATTCCAAGAGTTAGACAAACCTTAAATCAATGCATGCTTTAATAATTCTTTCTCTGTAGGTGAGAGTGGGTAAAGGAAGGTGTAGCATTGCTTCATCTAACAGTACTTAGTTAAATACGCATATATATCTAACTTCCTGCTGTTTCTTATAGTTATGTCAATCAGTTAATTTGCCTTCAGAAACGTAATGGATAACTGAGTATACACCTAGAACAGTTACTTCTCTGCAAGGTTTGCAAAATGTCACTATACAAGAAGAATCTTACAAGAACTTTTGTGTTGCAGACTGTACAGTTTGTTCAAGGAATATTTGTTGAAAAATACGATCCTACGATAGAAGACTCCTACAGAAAGGTATATGCAAAAGACCTCTCTGGTGTTACAGAAACTTAAAACTGCAATACATATTGTCAAATATTTGAGTCATTGCTTGAAAAAAGGGTGTACTTGATAATGCCACTTAACACCAGGTAACTTAACAAGTTTGAAATGTAAAAGCACTCTTAAAGTCTGTCTAAAAGTAATAATTCAAGACTAGCTTTTTAATGTTAAGCATAATACCTTACTGGCTAGTCAGTAAAAAATGTTAATTTATAATTTCATTGTCAGAATAGAGAACATTGATTTTTTTTTTTTTTAATTATTATTATTTTTTAAAAAGTAAAATACAGTACTTTTTTAGAGTATTTATAATTAGTTTATGTGTGTGTGTTAGTATCTGCAGGTAGATTTGGACTTGTACGTTGGAGGTTCTAAGCTTCTTTGCTACTAGGAAAATCTGCTAAAACCGACTTCATGCTCACCTTTAGAACACTGGAGGCATCATGCTGTACTCCTAACAGTTTAACTGATAGCTTGGTATGCTTCCATTAGATGAGTTGTTGTTTTATTAATAAGTTAACAGAAACCTATCATAAATGAACAAACACTTACAGTAGCCTGTTAGCTTCTGTCTTCCCATCTTCAGCATGACAGGCTGAAAGGTCTGACTGCTTGCATCGTCTTGAATCTCCATATTGCTCACTCTTCAGTTTCAGCTGAGACCACGATTAATATTCCAGGCTAAGATAGTTTACATCTGGACTGCTACCAAAAGTGTTAACCATTTGGTGAAACAGATTAGTTTTCGGCTGTGTCAATTTCTTAGCTTTTCTTTCTTTCTTTAGCTGAATTAGTTTCAGATGCTTTGTACTCTGATGTAGCTCACCATGTGGCCACAAAAATGCCAGTGTCTGTATGACGGAGGCAAGATGCATAAACCCTAGCTGGGAACGGGCAAAAACTGCAGGACCTCCTCTTTCAGCACTGGACTACATTTATATTGGAATAAAGAGGCTGCATTGACGGCCATTGCAGCCTATAGTTACCAGAATCTCTTCTAAACAGAAGAGGAATTAGTGAGAGCAAAATGATAATTCCGCACTTGTTTTCTTTGACCTCATGAAAGTCTGTATGCTGGAAAAATCCTAGTCAGTCTTAAGTGTGTGGGCTTCCAGCCAAAGCTAGAACTCTTATTACAGAGACAACAGCAACAACAAATTCTGTGTAGTCACTTACTTTTTCTGTATTAGGGGAGCAGGAATTTTGGACCCTATCCCAATATTTGGTGCAGGCCTTTGCTGGGTCAGGCCCAATAAATGACTGCAAAAATTATTCACAAGCTGTACTAAAGTGAAATGTTTCCTTTGTTATATATTTACATTCTTCAGGTCATACTAGATTAATGATATTTGCTGGGTGACTTTTTCCAAAGGCTGTTTCCATGGAACCTAAAAAAGTAAAGCCTTTTTTGGAAATTTTGCTAATTAATTTATTATTGTGGATTTTTTGGTGGTTTTTTTTTTTTTTTTTAATAGCAAAGATCTTCTAATGTTCCTTTCAGATTTGGTCCCCAAATGACTAGGAATATCTCTGTGTATTCTTTTGAAATCAGCCAGATTGTTGAACTCTTGCTTGTGTCTGAACAACACTTTAGGCAGTCATTTTCTTCCCCTCACTGTTAGTTACAATTCTAACTCGCTTCTTGACTTGAGTGACTTTAAAATGTATTGGTTTGGCAGTTGCAATTCTATACTATTAATGTTAAATCTAATTTTATAATATTTGAAGTTGAAAGGATGTGGCTTGAAATACTTTTAAGTTTGTCTGGAACTAAATAATTGAGCATGAAGTCTTGAAACTTGATGCCTTGATTTATTCCCTAAATATTTCTTCATAAAGAGAATAGATGCTGCTTAATCAGCTGAATAACTTTGTCAGCAATACATGCTAAAATATTGAAGAAATCTCCATCCCTAGGGACGTGGGGGAGGTGTGAGAGGAGGGGAAATACTCCTCTTCCCTCCCCAAGCTCAAATCTAGTTACAAAAGAAAAGCTCAAAGTTAAACTAGTGGTAATGCTTGTATCTGGAATAGGGCACACAAAGTTCTTTCTGAGTGCTGATCTGCCAACTAGAAGTTTTACATGCAAATGGAAACAAGGGAAGTGTACCAATAGCTTGAAAGAAAACTAAAATGTGGGTAGCCTCCTTGAAACAGCACTGAGGGCACTTCCATGTCCTTTGCTGCCCTCGCAGCTGGTTTTTGGTTTTGAGGTAGAAACTGGATACAGGAACTTGGAAACAGGTACACAAACTGATCCCATTTCTTAAACCACCTTTTTTTTGCCATTTTTTTCTAAGTTACATTAGTTTCCTAACTAGTGTCACTAAAGGCTTGTTTTGGGAACACCACTCTCAGTGGTTTGCTTGGCTGACTGTTTGCTGTACTTACTCTCTTGTTGATCGTAATTACTATTGAATGAGCATTAGTATGCCAGTCCATCTTTCTAGCTTTCACCTGTACTTTTCTTTCAATCTGTAAATGATCCCTGAAACAAGTAAAAATTAGTTGTGCTAGTTGCTGATAACCATCATTACAAATTTAGCAGCCACCTTTTAAATAATCAAAAATCCCTAATCACTTCGCAAAGTGGTACTTGGCTGCTGACGCTGCTTTTGAAAATGTCACTAGGGCTCTTCGAAAGGCTTCTTCCTGCTGTTTTCAAAGTCTATATCCATATAATCTTCTTAAGCCATTATGTTGCTTTATGCATTATGAATTTGCTTATAAAAATCACACAATTCCTGGTGTCTTTGGAGGGCAGAGTGGCAAGAGGAAAAATTCTAACCTCGTCTTTCTCTCTTGACAGCAAGTTGAAGTAGATGCACAGCAGTGTATGCTCGAAATTTTAGATACTGCAGGAACGGTACGTAAAACCAGCTTTCCTCAATACTGATGTACAGTGTTAAAACAGTCAAAAGCTGTAGGGATGTGAATGGTGACATGTTTCTTTCCTCATTCTCTAAAGAGTAACTGTGGTCGGTGCATTGGATTAAAGGATGTTTTTTAACATACTAGTATTTGAGCAAAACTTGATTGCAGAACACTACTTGCAAGTTTCCTGTGAGCTCATGTTCTGTAATAGGGGCAACATGAGATAGCAGCACAATCTCTTTTAAAATGCTTAGTTTTAAGTTTATATTGCCTAGAGGTAAATTTAGGCACAATGGTTACTCGGGTTTGATTTCAGTTGCTGTAGAGAATACATGCTTTCTACTTCTCTCCTTTTTCATTTGTGTGTGAGATCTGCTCTGACATTGGGATAAAAATAGTGTTGCTTTAGTCAGCTTATGGGAACTCAAAGCGCAGGGTTTATGCTGACCCTTTACATACTGGTCAGGTTTTTCTCTGATTAGTTCCAAAATCACTGGAACCGGTAATTTCTTTCGTTGATTCCAGTAAGTGTGAGCTCAAGACCCTTGGAGTGTAACATGTGTTCTCTGAACTGTAGTAGTGATCTGATCCAATAATAACTTATTTAAGCTCTGTATTAGGCCATGTAGAACTACAGAAAGGTGGAGTGGCTGTTCTCTCAAAATAAATTGCGCTTTTCATCTGATGTACAGCAAGGGACTTGATGAGTGATTGATCAGGCACAAGATAGCAGAGTCACCAATGTGAGAAAGACAAATGCTATTCCACAGCCATACCGGTGAGAATTTTTAACAGGGAGAAGTCCTAATGCCGCTGTGCAGTCCACCAGTGAATCTTCATGTGCAGTATCATAGTTGTGACTGAAATCTGGGAAATGTGACAAGCCTGTTAGAATATCTCCACCCTCTAGTCAATCTCCTTGAAAATTAAAGCAGAGCCTAGCATAGGAAAATGCCTAGATCACAAAATGGAGGCTAGAAAGGGATGCATTTACTTTACAGTGCGTTTTAAAGAGCAATCAGGAGATGGGGAAAAAGTTGGCATGTAAGCAGAGACTGGGGAGGAATGTAACTTTTGTAATCTACAGATTACACTTTATCTTTCGTCGTACCTCTTCTCTCTTATGAAATTACTCTATTTTCTATGACTTTTTCCCAGGGTATAGCCCTTGGCAATATCTAAATGTTCCAAATGCCAGATTTCTTTAAAAGCAGTTAAAGTTACTATAATGTGTATAGTCAAACAGTAAAATACGGGTCCGTTTGAAGCGGGGGAGGGGGCAGAAGTGCATTGTACTTGTGATCCATTTGTGACCTGAAGTATATCGCAGTTTGTGCAAGGAAAGTGCAAATTGGATGCAACATCTGTATCTATTTTTTGATTACAGGAACAGTTTACAGCAATGAGAGACCTATACATGAAAAATGGACAAGGTTTTGCATTAGTATATTCCATCACAGCACAGTCCACGTTTAATGATTTACAGGATCTAAGAGAACAGATTCTTCGAGTCAAAGACACTGATGATGTAAGCATCTCTAAAAATGTTTAATATTTAGAGTAAGCCATAAGCGTTTGCAGGTCTTGACTATGTTCAGCAGATTTCTTCTAGAAGTGATTTATTACCCATTATCATACATGTATCTCGAATCAGTAGTATTTAAGCTGCACGTACCTTTCCCATCCAGAACCTACCAAGTTATAGCCTTGTTTAGCATCAAATTAATTTTGTACACTAGAATCAAGGTAAATGTGATTATATTTGAAAGCTTAGTTTACATGGTATATTTAGGCTGACTAGCATAAGATTTCTTTGGTAGTATTTCCTCGGAATTGTATTTCTTTTTATAACACTCCCTCAGTCTTGAAAGCCATTCCATAGTATCAGCAGAAGGATAATGAGCTTCAAGTTGCAACTTCAGTTCTCGCCAAAATTTGCATAAAGTTTTTCCTATGCCAAAGCTTAAGTGTGACTTGCTTCCTCAGTGGGGGGAAATTAAATGGTCAAAATACTGTAAACCTTTTTTTTCAGCACCTGAATTTGGGAGAAACTTAGCGATGTCCTTAATTAGTAAAAGGAAGGGGAAAAAACCCAACAACTTTGTATGATTGCCTCTTCTTGCCACAAAGGTCAATTCAGTATTTTCTGTAGTTGGTAATTTTGATAAGGTAGGGTGTTTCTTTCGTCTGCGTGCATCAGCTTACTGGTAAGAACTGTGTGGGCAAACTGCTGTTGAAAAGAGTGCGTAAGTAGTGGAATGGTGAAAGGAGCTTTAGCATCCTTCATCATGCTACCTAGTACAGGCCATTTTTCCAGGATTTCTGAGCATGTAGGAATCCTGTAGCAGATTCTACAGTAGATTCCTTGATGCCTTAAACATCCAAAAATGAAATCTCATTAGGTCATCTAGAACATGTGACACTTGCTCAGTTGGCAGCGTACTGAATCCTCAAACCCTTCCCACCACTGCCCTGCCAAACAGCAGGCAAAAAATGCAGTCACTTCCGTTTGAAGATGAAAGTATCGCGCAACTGTAAACTTAAGTTTCAGTTATAGCAGAGCTTGATTATGCTGGAAGTCAGGATCCTCTAAGGATTCAAATAGGTTTGAGGTGTGCATTTACATTGTGCCTTCCCAAAATTTTAATGATTTCTTTACTGATATTAAATTGCTTTTTAGGTGCCTATGATTCTGGTTGGCAATAAGTGTGACTTGGAAGATGAAAGAGTTGTGGGAAAGGAGCAAGGTCAGAACCTAGCAAGGCAATGGAATAACTGTGCGTTCTTAGAGTCCTCTGCAAAATCAAAGATAAATGTTAACGAGGTAAGTAAGGCATGTTACCTGTGGGGGAAGGGTGGCAGGGAGAGAGGGATGGAACACTGTTCTGCTAAACAAACATTTATCCTTTGTCAAGGAAAAACTAACAAAATTATGAATAACATTTGCTGTAATGGACAAAACTGTACCCTATTATTGGGAGAATTTGAGAGATGTATTTAGCTTTGGCTTGGGACTTATTTTAAAATTACATTAATTTTAGCATAATTTGTTTTCAAACTATATTCATATGAATTTGGGATAAGTACTTTCATGTTACATTCCCTAGCTGATACCATCTTTATCAACTGAGAATGTACTGCTAGACTACTTTTTTTTTTTAAAGACCTTTAAGAGAATTAAGTCCTTAAAACTATTTGATTTAAGTTATTTGGTATTAACTTACTTGAGATGGTAGAATAAAAACTCTTAAGGGTTTTGTCAAAACTAGCACCTCTGTAAAGAAAAAGAGGGGGTGAAAGCCTCTCTACTTGTCTAGCTACTTATTTATGTAGCAGGAGGTAGATGACTGACCAAACACACATGGTTTTGAGACTTGCCATATTGCATGCCTTCTTATCCAGCAGGGGTGTCGGCATAAAGAAAGGGAGGCAAAAATTTTTAGAAAAATAAGCTGTGTTAGTATTTACATTTCTGGAACAGCTTGAATTTTGTGATAAACCCTACAGTTCATTGGGTCTTCTGGAAAATGTTGTTGGCAGCATCAGTCAAATTGAAAGGGCCTCTGTGCAAGACTTGCATGTAATCAAAAGAGTATGGTGGTTTTAAGCACAGCTGAATTTAAAAATAAGTAATGTGTGTTTAATTAGTTGGAAATTTCTGGAAACTATTCAGTATTTTCTTAAATACAAATTAATCAGCTTAACTATATAAAAGTCATATGTTTAATAAACTAGAACTTCCATCAAATACTAAAAGCCCTTGTTGGAATGTTTGCTGCTTTGCAGCCAGTGCTTAGGAAACTGCTAGGATGGCTTTAGTATGAGGACTGCCTTGATTTAGGAGATGCTGAAATAATTGGAGCAATGTCAGTTATGAACGAAACAGATGCTGTTTAATTGTAGTATGTAGACTTGTCTTAAATTAGCCTTTCAACAAAATTGTGTTCTAATTAGAATTCTAGGAGACTCAAAGTGTGAGAGAGTCTCATACATGAGTTACTTTTCCAGGAAATGTTACGCTTATGTCATGCTGTAGTCCTAGAGAGGCTGCTGAATTAATTTTCTAGACTTCAGTATTTTTAAAGTATCTGGAAAAGCATGATCTCATTGAAATACAAGAGACTATTACTGAATATGCAGTATACTTGAGTTACCATGAAAATGTGTAGTTAAAACTTACTAGAAGTTTCTTTAAAAGAATGTCCTTAGAGTGACTGCAGTTAGAAGAAAGCTGTGGCCTGTTTCTTGACCTCAGTGCTGAATTGCAAAGTAGTAGCATACAGTAGTGGATCGCTATGGCATGTATCGTGTGTGTTCAGATAGATTTGACCCAGAGATTAAATAGCTGCAGACTATAGATGCCTTTCCAGGTTGCTTGATTGAAAGTGGAAAACCCTTGGCAGACCATTATCTTAAAACAGGAAAACAAAACGGGTATTAAGTAAGTATGCAATGCAACTCTCTGGCTCTGTGATTACTAAATATTTGCAGGGGTTCTTGACTATGTGAGTACGTTATGCGTGGAGATTCAAGGCTTAAGGTTATGAGAGGAGCCTCTTAGTTCCGGTAACCAACTGATTTTTATATTCTCAGATCTTTTATGACCTTGTGCGACAAATTAACAGAAAAACTCCAGTGCCTGGAAAAGCACGCAAAAAGTCATCATGTCAGCTACTTTAATACATAGCTGTACTGTAGCTCTGAGCCAGGTAAACATTTTAAAATTTTCTGTGTATTATGGCTATTAGAAACAAATGAAACAATAACAACAAAAAACCTGAACAACTGTGGTAGCTGTTGATGCAGAACAGCATTGAAAATTCTTGGTTTACATTATCTTAGAAATTTTTATGGTCTTTATTTTGCCATTCCAAAGTCAGAACTACAATTATGTGCAAGACACACTGTTCACACTAGTATCAATTTTTTTTTTTCCAAGCTTTATGGTGTTGGCAGAGCTCAAATTAAGAATGTTTGTTGTGGTATTTCAAAACTTTAGCTTTTGGAAACAGCGTATTGTTTTTTAAAGGCTGATAAAACTTACTGCAAGAGCTCAATTACCAGGAGTCCACACTGTAAAATATTGCAGTTTGTACACTGAAATACCACTTCCTGCTTTGAATTCTTACATATATTTGCATGATGTCATAGGAGTTCAGCTTACTTTCTTTGGACTATATGGCTATTTTATAGACTGCATTGTAATTAGTACACTTTGAAGAGAACGGTGAAGTGATCATTGTAACAGTCCAAATATTTGACCTGGAGCTATTGGTTACTCAATCAATTTCTTGCTCGTTGGCAGTTGGCTGATGTTCTGCATGACTAAATCCATGCTGTAAGAATGCTGCTGAAGGCTCAAGCAGGCTCCAGCCTGCTCTTTAAGCAAGCCTTTCCAGAAGTTAGTCAGCAGGCGTGAATTTTTTTTCTGCAACTTGTTCTTGGGCAAGTTGTTTCCCTCTTTCCACCTCCGAGCCTTAGTATGGGCAGAGGTCTCTCGTGATTGACCTGACATCATGCAAGTTACCTGTTCATCTCGATTCCCTTCGGTTTTACTGGGCATACAGTGGTTTGGTTGCTTCAGTGCTATGATCCATTATTTTGTCATCCAGTAGACTTGTTTGATATACAGGAGGATCCTGGTAGGACATTTCACTGTCATAAATTTCAGGCTTTTGTTAATACTTGGATAGTGCCATATTTAACTCTTTTTTTTTTTTTTTTTTTTTTTTTGTATCGATATTAAAACTAACTTACTTTGAACTCATTCAAGTTATTCAAATTAAAACTGAGAGGGTTCCAAACGCATTAGCCAAGGGTGGCAGAAACGGCTGCTCCATTTCCTTAACAGGGCTTTTGCTCAGGAGCTTTGATCCTCCAAATGTGGTTTTGTTTTTAAAGCCACCGCAACTGTCGCGCTGTAAGCAAAACTAGTCCCACCCATCAAATACTACTTCCACAGTTCAGCTTGGATTACCATATGTATCCCAGTTCAGTTTTACTAATTTGTATGTGTACAGTAGAAATTATATTGGTAGAGGAGAAGTGATAGGGTTATTTTCTAAGTCTATTTGCTAAAAACTTCGCTAGTTCTTAATCAAGTTTAGTTGCTTTAACTAAAGGGCACTGACAAATAGTTGTTGCGAATACTAACCTCTCGTTTTGCTGTTACAGGTCTGAAGAACTGTTGCCCAATTCAACAGTGCCAGCATTCCAACTTTATTAAACCTACCAACATCTTAAATGGACTTTCCTGTGGTGGTACCCTTTAAGAAATGGATGAAAGCTACTACATCAGTTTGCACATTCTAATCACTTTCCAGTGTCATGAGAGATTTTTACTTATAAATATTCTAAGTGTATGCAACTGGTAAAACCAGAGCCTACATCCAGTATTACTGATAAGAGACATTGTTCATCCACCAATGTTGTACATGTATGAAAACTGTGTACTGTATACTTCAACAATCCCCACTTTCTATTGGAGAGTACAATAATGTAAATCCTAAAAGCACCACTATTTTAGCATAATAAAAGAAAGTCCAAAGAGCTCCTATATAGACTACTCCAGATAACTTTGCTTCATCGGTATTTGTAGCTTATTGTAACTTTTTTAAAGAAATACAGGATCATCATCATCGTATTGTACAAAAGCGCTTTGATTAACACAACAGCTATATAGTTTTTTAATTTTAGGAAAAACCTGTGGAGACAGTGATCTAGTCTTTAAGAGTCCTTTCAGTATAACGTCTGACTAAAGACATGGCCTTTAATATCTGTTGGGAAGGAAATGTCCAGACTTTTCAACCTTTTATTGTATGTTTCCTTTTCCTTGTTTACATAGGGAACAATGTTTATAGTTGTGTGTACAGTGGGGGTCTACAACAAGAAGTGTATATTTTAAAACGATTTTTTAATGATTTAACAATTTTTTGTAAATCATTTTCGGGCTTCTGCAGCTGTAGATTCTCACTGTGAATTCCCTTGCTTGCTCATGCATAAGTGTATTTGCAATACCAAATATACAGGTTTAGTACTTTTGCCTGTTAGTGATTGTTTTACATGTGTAACGTTTTGGTTGAGATGTTAAATGGTGGAAGAGTACTGTGGATGTGAATGTGGGAAGTAATTTTAATCATGTGTAATTGGTCACAGGGCCTAAGTTGCAGTAATTAACTTTTGCTGATTTATTTAACAATGCCTTGTTGCTTTGTATGCATTAACGTTTGGGTGTAAAGATTGTGTGTATATCCAACAGGGAGCCACAGTATTTAAATTGACCAACCTAATGTTACAACTGCTTTGAGGTGGCCAAATGTAAACTAAAAGCCTTAATTAAAGTGGTGCAATTTTGTATGACTTAGCATCAGTAGTTCAATAAATTTGGATTGCCATGCAAGGGCTTGCATTACAGTTATATACTACTTGAATGTTTTGTGTTTTAGTAGCGCTAGTAAATACTGATTTTTAAATCTCTTGCACAGTGCAGATTCATACATCTTAGGATGAAGAGGAACCATTATGACTTTGTCTTCCGACAAATACATGACGTAGATATTTATTCTAAGAGTATCCCATGTGCTAGGGAGGATGAATTTCTGACTGAATAAAAGTCAGAGTCTAACGGAAAAAATAGCTGTCTTCAAAGGTTAGACTGTCAGTGGCTGTTTTGGGAACTTGAAAATACGTTGCCTGCTATTTTCCTTCTTTCCAGGAAAAATTCATTGTTAAAATTGACTTAGCGTAGCTAAAAAAAAAAAAAAAAATTTCTTGGGAGAAAATACAATTTTTCTGCATGATTAAACCATATTTGTTTGGTTTCAAGGAAATCTGCAGAAGAGCATTCTTGCAGTACTGAGTGTAAAGTTTTGCAGACTTTAAATATCTGTTAACACTGTTGACTGTGAAGTGGAATGCGTGGACTGTGGATGATTTCCTGATCTTGGCTGTGCTTCTGAAAATTAATGTTGCACCCTACTACTTGATACCTCCTGTTTCTCTGGCACAGAATTATCAGAGCTTGTTCTAATCCATTCCTGCAAATTCCATCAGATTAGATTAGCTAATACTAGTAAGCTTTGAGATAGTTTACACTGGCCAAAGTTAATTAAGGAGCCCAGATGATCCTTCCTGCTGGTAATTTCATCAGTCATCACCACTGTTTAGTGGAGGTAATACGCTCTTTCACTGTGCAGAGTCAGAGTTAAGACTGAAATTCCTATTCATTTATTGTTAGGAGCCAGGACCTGTGGTTGATGATCCCCATAAATATCTCTTTTGGTACTCCCTGCATCCTGATCAGTCCCCAGAGTAGAAGAGACTGGAGCACTGGATGCTCTAGTTCTTTTTTCACTAGGTAACTTCCTCCTTGATGAGCTAATCAGTATTTTTCCTCCCTTCATTTTCAACCTTTGCTTATTCAGGTCTTGTAACACTTTTATGTCCCAGTTGTCCTTTTATCATTGTTCTTTTTAATGTGTTTCTCTTCCAGGCAGCTGTACAGATGGCATTGGATGGGAGGGAGAGAAAATTCTTTGACAACATCAGAGAGGGGGCCCTGGTCTCGACTCTGTCCAGCCAAATAGTACCGATTACAGGGAACACCAGGCTTTGTCCTGAAAGCTCTGTACGGGAGCATTCTTGGTTGCCCTGAGGAATAGTCAATGTACAGTTCCTCAGCATTAGAGGTAGTCAGTTTGATCAAACCCCAGGGAAGTAAAAAGAGTCAGAAACTCTAGGCTTTACTAACTAAAGATTGCACTAAAAAAGTGAAATACATCACCCCCTGCCCCCCCGTATTTAGAACTTTAGGCCAGATTTGTAAAGCCAGCACATCATAACCCAGGTAATACCTAAACCCCAGTATTTCTCTCCTTGAAAACTTACACAGGCTTCAGGGGAGCGGTGTCCTGGTTGTGAAAGGGAAGATGCATGCTGAGGAAGTGATGGACATGAAGCATAAGGAAAAACACATGAAAGAATTTTCTTCATATGTAATTGCAGCATAAAGAAGCAGTTCCCACTGAGGAAGTGAACATCCAGTTCCCCACAGGAATTGGAACTATGTGAGCAGTTACCAGTTCTAGAAAAGAATCCTGTGCTGAGATTTTTGAACAAACTTTTACATATGTTCAGGATAACTGCTTTGTGTACCACCACTTAAGAAGTTCACGCTTGAACTACTTGTACAGAAACAGAACACTTCTCATTAAAGCTTTGGATGAAAACAGGCATAATTCATATTTTGAAAACTAATGCAGTAATTTTCCAATTTCAGCGTTAATACACATGTATTACTGCTTGTAAAGTTAGCTTATGCTTACAGCGCACACAAAGGTGGTGACTGCTTTATTTCCACCTTAATCTGAAACTGGTATATGTCAGTATTTAAATGTCTGAGCTTTCTATGGAAAAAGTAATGTTTAACGTCCTGAAATATAGAAGTATTATTTAATGGAATTGCACTCTTCCTGTTAGGACTATTTCCTTGCAGTACAAATTTTTATTATCTTACCTTGTTCCTAACCTTTTTCATTCTCAAATTACTCTGTGGAATGAATGTCTACTTGCCTAACTTCCAGAATATTTTGAGACATTGCAAGACATTTTCAGATGTCCAAAGGAACAAACCGTAAGCCCAAACTACTACTGTTCTTCTGCATAAGAGAACGTAACTTCTGCAAAAGTGTTGTAGAGTCAGATACTAAGGTTATTTCATAATATGTACTGATACTGCAATGCTAGAAATGAGGGGTGGGAGGAGTTTGGATTAAACTGCGTTTTTCTCCTTTGCTGGTATAAATAGAGTTGCTGTTTCCTTATGGGTGAACACTAAAGATGAGGATTTTCTTTTAAAACTATGGATGAGTCAAACTTGATGGGTTTTTTTCCAAAGTTTTCTAATCTTTGCTAGTTTGGGGAATAATTTAGAAGGGGAGAAATTTAGCCATGATACCATATGAGTTCTAAATAGACTTCAGTTTAGCCATATCAACAATAGAAAGTTATTTCTAGATGTAAATGGTCAAAAATAGTGGTCTATATCCAGCTGTCTGTAGCACTTCTTCGCTTGTTATATGAAGATACAGCCAAGCATCAGCACAGACAGAAAGCATTTTATCCAGTTTTAAACTGCTGTCCCAACAGCATTAGGCTGTACTTGAATTTACAGCTTTTATTTTGCCCGTGCATGAGGAGGAGCATAAAAGCAACAAAAAAGTTGCTCAAATATGTAAAAAAATGCAGTTGTAGGTAGTTCTCTAAGGTAGCAGTAGAGAAGCAGAGCTCTTAATCAAATTATGTTCTTATTTCTGAATCTCAAGCACCTTACGCTTTTCTTTGAAAGGTTTATGAACAACTTGAAGATTCTTAAAACCTCACTTCTATAAAGTAAACTCTGGAATGATACCTAGATTTGTTGTGAACTTTACATTCTTACTCGAACTATAAGCAAAGTTATTTTGTAGTCTTGATTTTGTTCTCAGTGTTGCAATATCTGAGCTTCAAACAGCAGATAAGTGTGGATTTTGCTTTTTTTCTTCTGTGTTTGGGGTTTTTTGGGGTTTGGGTTTTTTTAAAATACCCTCCAAAACCATTTATTTTCAGAATTTTGAATCATCAAGCCGAGGGTGGCTTCCTGTTTTCAGTGAGAGATTTGTGAATGGAGAAAGGAATGTCTTCATAATTCCACCATACTCACTTCAGCCTCAAGAAATATTAGTTCTGTCGAACAACAAGCTCTACAGCTTCCTTGTTTTAAGAAAGTTCACTGCCACCAGGATTTTTTTTTTTTTTTTTTTTTTTTATGTTGAGGTTGTGGCTGGGGTGAAAGTACTTCATTTGAAAGACATTGTAATTTCTAATCAATTCATGTAATGTCTTTTGGCTACCATAAACGTGGAGGGAGGGGGCATTTCTGCAGTCTTGGATACTGAGTGAAATTATAATAGAAGTTACATCTGTATACTTTTTCATACTATATGGCATTTTTACCTTATACTTCTAAATCTAGCAGGGAGGAGTCAGTGACTTCACTCCCATACTAAGTACAAACATCTACATGTGAAATCCCAGCTCTCGTAAACTGGGTTTACTGCTTGTAACGTGCCCAATACAACAAAGACCTTGGCACTACTGTCATGGTTTTCAGACACAAAATAAAATGACAGTTACAAATTTGTCTCTTTCTTTTTCATTTTTAATAAAAAAAAAGGGGGGTTAGCCGAGCTTCCTCAATAGGAGTAGGCATGGGAATCAATTTGTTTAGGGTAAGACCCGCAGCAAACATTACTGAGAGTCAACATGGGTATTTTAATACTAAGTAAGCACATAAACACTTTAGTTAAATTCTTGAGACTGGTTTAAAAAAAAAAAAAAAAAAGGTTTCTTTTACATTTAAATTTTTAAAAGTGAAAAATTAAACACTTTCCAGGAATGTGTCTCAGCGAAGAAAAGACAGGCTAAAACATGGGCTTTTTTCCTTGTCTTACAAAAAGGCAAGGGATAGCGTCAGTTCCACAGTTTTCTTGTACTGAGTGCAGTTGTGCTGCTGTTGCACAGGAACTTTGTCATGCTCCTGCTTTTGGTAGTTGTGGATTAAGACCACAGTTTTGTACCTGCAGCTGTCGTGTACGCGGCTTAGCAATGCATTAAGGCAATGTATTCGATCTGTGAGCCGTCTGCATTAAAACATATTTTGTAAAGGGCAATTGGAGTTTTGAGTTAGTTTACTTGTTTAATTTTGATCTAGTATAACCTGGACTTTAACCTAGTACGCCCTGTAAACCTGACTAACTTCACAGAAAGCTAGTAGGGAGCAGAGGAGTCTTAGGCATTGGTGACAAACCCGCCACGTTTCTGTTAGTTGTGCTAGCTCCTGAGTTGCCTTTGCTTGTCCTGCCTCTACGTATGGAGCGTTGCTACCCCTCGTGATACTCCGACAACATGGCTGCTGTTCGCATCAGTGTTGATGCAAATATGTGAAACTTAAGATGGATTTATCATTTTTAATTATAAATTTAAGTTCAGAGTCCTTTATATCACTGACTGAAAAATTTGCATTCCCTTCTGCTTCTTGGAAGTGTAAGATGGCTGCATGAGACTGTCAGTTCTTTTTCTCTCCATTTTTTTACCCTGAAAACGCAGGATGCCAGTCGAAAAATACTGCCTGAAAACACACCTGCAGATTTTTGCCCTGTCCCTTGCCCCTTACTGGAGCCAACTTGAAGCCTCTAAGGTGCTTCCCAAGCCTGCCCTTAAAGAGACAAGTTCTCTCAAGGGCCCCAAATCTTTTATACCCTCTTACAGGTTGGTTTGGGTTGGGTTGGTTTTTTTCTAAAGTGTGCATGCTAACCTTTTACTTTCTTTTCAGCCTTATTTCTTTTGTTCCTGTCTGTCATT